GTGTCTCATAATCTGCTGTTCAAAGATCAATAAGAAGCCTATAACATGCAGCTTGGGATCTATCTGTGGTTAGCATACTCCTGGTTAAATTGCAGCTCTAAAATCTCTGATAAATCACAGCCTTAAAGAAATTATTCTTCAGGCTGAAATAATTGTGGCAACATAATAGCATTCTCATTAAAAATTATGTCCGTGCATATAGATGACATAGAACATTTTCAAATACCAAAATGTCTTGAAAAATCTATTTAGTTTGGTTTTGGGTATTCTGTGACGTTACCATACTGTACTGGTGCTAAAATATAATTTTAATGTGTCCAGTTTCTAGAGAATATTTATGGGATAAGAACAAAAACTTGCAAAGGTCTGGTTTCACTTCTGACCTCTTCCAAACAGTTGTCTCTGCTCAACTGCCTGTATTTCATTATTTTGAAGTAATCATGTAAAAGTACATTTTTATTTGTACCTGCAGATTACTTGCTTCAATAAAATACTAAAAAAACTTTGCTTTTAATTCCTCAGAAAAAGGATTTTGTGAAGAACAGCTGTGTTACTTTCATATGACTGTGAGACATGGGGTTAGGAATTAGAGGGGTATTGATTAGAAATAGTTATTTAGATGAAATATTGTTTAATCCATTGCTCTCTATGATAATGTGTGTTTCAAGTGATTACAGAAGAATTTGTCTGTATTTATTGCAAGCCTGAGAGTTTCACACGTATCTTGCATATCTTTAGTATATTTTTTTTTCCACAGAATGCTTTTTTGATAGTTTTGCAATGGGTCTGTAATTCAGCACCAAAGAAAATTTGAGGGAGCACCTGCAAAGTTTTCAGCACACACCATCAGTATTTTCAGGTCTCATTGTTATAAATCACAAAACATCCTACAACTTCAAAAAGCAACAAATAACACGTATTAGTTCATTGTCTCTAATAATGCAGCACATAAGAACTCTGAGGGTCAATGCCATGATTGGGACTGTAAGTGCTGTTTACTTTTTTTTTTTTTTTTTTGGTGTTGAGAGATTAGGAAAAGTGGCTTTCTTACAGAAGAAAAAAACAAATAAAAAAGAAAACAAAACCAGCCCTAGGCCATAGGTAAATGCACCACAATGCACACAAAGAACTGTACTGTTGAGACATAAACTTTAAGGAATTTAGAGATTTTAGAGGAGCTAAGATTTTAGTTAGAGATAAGCTTTGTTTGAGTTAATTAAAATAAATGGGTAGGCCTTGATGAAGTTAAGAGTTAGTGGTTAACTAATAATTGATTGCTTGTCAGCACAATGTTTGGTTAGCTGGGTTAATAATGAAGAATATAGAAACTGATAAATAGCTTTTAGGAACATAAGAATTGTAGGACTCTTCTGTTCTCTAATCAATTGAAGATGGGGAATGAGAGTTCTACCAAGGGTTCATTTGTCATATTTATATTGAAAAGGTAGAAAGGTCAGAAGGAGGAAGACTTCATTTACCTCCTCATTTTGGGACCCCTCCCCATGAAAGGGACCACCGACCCATTTCAAGGTACAAACTACCCATGCTTAATGGCTTTTGAACTAATTACCATGGGAAGTGGGGAATGGCATGTACCAAAATTATAAATACCTATTTGTATTTTGGGTATTCAATACCTGTATAGATAAAAGGACTCTGAATCACCTGTAAATCACAATGTATATTTGGGAGCTATCCCACAATAAACACACACTTTCTAACTTTAAACTGGTTTTGTCCATCACAGTTGAATATCGGTACTAGATCAATACCCATATTTTTAAAAAATCACTGTGACAGGGCAACACAAACCATGCTTCCATTTCAGGGTAAAAAATGTAACATAGCTGCATGTGGGCAGCACAATGGGGCCCAAGCTGGTTTCTTGTCAAATATCAAAGCAAAAATTTTCACTGCAATATTTCCTATGCATCACATGCCTGGGAGAAAGATCTCCAGAATACAAGAAGTAATTATTTTTGAAAGTTAACAACAGATAAGCAAATTCAAAGGCTCTAAAGATGCATATAATCTCTAATTTTAGACATAACAATGCATTTAATGTCAATTTAAATCTTCTCCCTGCTTATCCTACCTTCTAATTAACAACTCTTCTTGTTTGTCTTAATGTAGTTTTTTAGGAATGGTACTGTTGCTTGTCTGAAGTCAGAAGCCTTTTTGGAGTTGTATAAATGGAACACATTTTAAATGTTAAATTTATAATTTAATGTTGAGAGACATCAAAAAACTATCAAAATTTAGTGCAAGTACTTGGCTGCTCTTGTCAATGTGAGGGGAAGGAAAGGACAACAAACAATTGAAGGGAGGGAACACCTCTGCTATAGAAGCAGGACCAGAGAGTTTGGGTTGTTTAGCCTGGAGAAGGGAAGGCTCCAGGATTTCTAATTGTGGCCTTCCAGTGCCCCAAGGGGCTGTGAGAGAGGTGGAGAAGGGCTTCCAACGAGGGCAGGTAGTGATAAAACAAGGGAAATAGCTTTGGGATAGAAGAGGATTGGTTTCCATTGAGATATTGGGAAGAAATCCTTTGGTGTGGTGGTGGTGAGGCACCGGCACAGGCTGCCCAGGGAAGTGTGGCAGGAGAAACCCTGGAAGAGTTCAAGTTTACATGGGGCCTTGAGCAGCGTGGTCTAGTGGAAGCTGGAAATAGGCATAGTTCAGATCCCTTCCAACCCAGAGATTCAGGGATTCTCATGTGAAAAACACATTCAATCTCCTGTGAAAATTTTAAAAGTTTATTAAAGGCCAGTGGGAGACAAAGATAGTAAAGCAAGGATTATGGCCCAAGAGCACACTGCTATCTTTGGGGATACCCCTTAAATATCTTTTCCCTTACATCAGCCTGGTGCATATTCATAGACCCTTATGCATAATAAACTTTTCCCCAAACTAGTTTACATGTTCAAGAATTGTTTAGCATGGCTCCTCCTTGGATCCACCTTTTTAGGGCACGGGTATTCCTTGGGTGTGGTTTTAGTCCATTCTTATCACCTCCAGTTTTTGGGCCTTGCTCCACTCTGCCTTCAGAAAATGAGTGCTGATAGTTGGCAGATCTGTACAGGTGTCCTCATCCTGTGTGCATTGGATGTTATCCCATCCAAGCAGGTATTTTAACACAAGCAGCTATTTCACTAAGCTTAATTAACAACAGAAATAAACACTATATCTTTATAGAAAAGTGACTTTACACATATAAAATCCATTTTAATATTTGCAAAAAGCCAATATTAAAATATGTATCTATAACACAGAATTTGCTTAACTTCTGACTGCCACCTGATTCTCAGATGCTGTCCAGGTGCACTACACACCTGGAGCTGGTGGCAAGCCTCTGCTTCTGTGTGTATGGGTTTGTCATTTGGAAATGTACAGGACAGAGTATCTGAGATGGAGGGCAGAAAGAAAATGAGCAGAGAGACAAGAAAGAAGAGACAAAAGAGCGAGTAAAAGGGGCAAAGCAAAGAGGAAAGAGAAGAAAAGAGAGAGGTGGAGAGAGAGCAGGACAAAGATGACCGAGAGAGGGAGAGACACTGAGAGGCATGGGAGGGAGCAAAAGAGAGACAGGGAGAGACCCAGACAAAGTCAACACAAAATACAAACAAAAAAGAGTAAATCACACCAAAGAAAGAAGGAGCAAAAAGAAAAATCTTTATTACAACTTCATAGCATTACTTATTTTGTTACACTTCCTCAGATTCACTTCTGTGCAGCTTAGTCATGAGAGAAACGGATCGCCATTTAAAAATTTTGTAAAAGTTTATTAAGGGATAAAAGGGATAAAATCCAGCACTGAGGTGCTTGGCTATTTCCCAAAAGCATATGGTTAACTTAGCACCATGTTCTCTATGTACTGTTACACTGCAGGGGGTACAAGCATATTCATTAAAGAATTTATAAATATTCAAACATTCCTTTGAGTTTAGATGTTCTTCTGCTTGGTTTTAACCTTTGACTTGTCTTCATGCCATTTTGTGGATTAAACCAATATATTTTATTTCTTCTTGTGGTTCCATCCTGTTGTATTTTCACTCCCTGATAATGAGGGTCAATAAATTCATAGTTTTTTCGGTGCTCTGGTTTCTGTTATCTTGTCTTTTAGATTTCCTGAATGTGGGAAATCACCTAATTATTTCACACCATATTATGAGTTAGTTACATGAAAAAGCATTTTAACATTTCACAGTCTCTATTATACTACAGTCTAAGATAGTACATATTACACTACTATTTATAAAAGCTATACAGTGTAAACATAAACAGATAGATTGTACTATATCAAAAGCAGTAATTACAAGTTGTACTATATCAGGATTTTTGTGATCAATAATACTTTGCAAAAGTTGATATATAAATGTGAAAGCCAATAATCAGTCATTTGAGAGCAAAATTTGACATCATTTTCAACACAGATTAATACAAGACCATGGAGTGACAGGACAAAAGGGAATGGCTTCAAACTGGTAGAAGTTTTCAGGGAAGCTCTGATTTGCCAAATGTGCTACTTCTACCTCAAAAAGGAGCACAATGAAATCTTGCAGGACTGGTGGGGCAGACTGGGGGGTGTTGGTGGCAAGTGGGTTTTTTTCCTTTCTGCTCTGTTGAAAAAGGGGGTATGGCAGCCTAGGACCAAGGAATGTTGATGGCAAAGTGCTGAAGGGTGACAGCATCCACCTGACAGCAATGTTTATCCCCTTCTCTCAGGCTGCAAGACCTGTTTCTGTGTGTGTGTTAGCATGACATGAAATAAAATATGAGTAAAATGAGGGCAAAAGGTCCTAGCAGGTGTGTGTGTGTTAACATGACATGAAATGAAATATAAGTAAAATGAGGGCAAAAGGTCCTAGCAGGTGGCAAGGCCCCTGTGGGGTTTGGGATACACATTCCCACATGTGTCCCAGCTGATGGATCGGTGGCCACGCCGGCGCAGAGCTGTGTTGTGCTGCCGGGACAGTTGCTTGGAAAAAGAAGGAAAAAAAAACCTAAACAAATCGAAGAGGAAAAACTCACCCAGGCAGGCAGCAGCAGGCTCCGGCGTGGCCGAGGTTTCCAAGACTACTGCAGCACACGGCCGGCTGGGACACGGCCGCTTTTGGAGTCATTTTGTACAATTTTTACTGTTTGAGTTGGTGGAGCCACTCGTGGCTCAGGTTGTGTGTTGGGGGGGAAATTGCTGAGTGAGGATTAATTTGTTTGGTGCAAGCCTTGCAAGGGGGGTTGGGCAATGCGAGCTTTCCTAAAGAGCTCGGAGGGGTGTTTCCAGCTGAAATCCTACACCACGACCATCGGGAGCCACACAGGGGCCGACATCGTCCTGCAGGTAGGGCTGAGGCAGCTGAGCATCCTAAAATG